GTTATATATATATATGAATATATATGTAGACATATATATATATATATATATATACATTTATATATATATACGATTGTATATATCGGCACAACAACGTAAAGACAAATATTTGTCAACACATCCATGTAAACACACAACATCACTCATTGACTGTACTTTTCAATATATATATTAACGCTTGTATAAATTTCATTCTTTACATTTATGAAGCGCTGACTTTTGCACTACTTCTTCTCTCGAATGTATAGAGTATTGGCACAGTTATTGGCAGCGTAGGCGACAAGACTCTCAGCACCACACCACATAGGCAGATCGCAAGCAACACACACACACACAACACACAACAGGCCCATCCCGTCAGAACCCGCCGACAGACCCGACGGAGTATGGAAACGAGCGCTAACAAGAAGCGTACCCGTATAAGTCTGGATGGAGAGACAGATACGAAGCATGTGCCTAGTAACAAGGCCGGGGGTAAGGGGAAGGGTGGGGTGTATGATGGGGATTGGGATGAACTGGGTAGCGACCTGGTCAAAGGACTCGACCCCAGGCGCAGTGCGGGCAGGTGGGTAGGTAGAGCCATGGTAAATGCCACAGATACGAATGCCTATGCGTACGATGTCGATGAGCACTCGCGCGACAGTGTGCTAGCGGGGGTGGTGGTGCACGTGGTCACTGGCAACCCGACCCGCCCACACAGGGACGAAAACCACACAGTGATGCCCAGACCAACAGGCACTAACTCACCCGGCACACACAGGGAAGTAGGTACCAACAAGACTACCGGCACAACTGTGCATGCAACGGACACCACGGCTAGATGGTATGATCTGGCAGAGAGAATGGGCGCCAAATGCGTCTACGACTACGCGCCACCCCGAGACCCGGATCCGAATGGAGCCCCCGCCGCACGGAGTAGTTCTATAAATAGATCAGCAGCCGCAGCCAATGAAATCACAGGTAAAATAGACCCGGGAGCAACCAAGCCCACCCATATTCTTGCTCTCGACAACACAGGTGCGTGTGTCCGTGAAGCTGTGCGCATTGGAAAGGAGGCGTTGGCGCTGGTAGTGCAGGGTGAGTGGCTTTCGGCGTGCTATGAACAGCGAACGAGACTGGATGTCTCGAGGTATCTGCTTGCTTGTAATGGACAATTAACCAGGAGTGTTGGGTTTGGTAGCGGTAGAAGAGTGACCGCGAGTATACACAATCCACGACCACGGAACAACGTGTCAGCCAATACAAAGACCACATCGGGGGAGGTTGTGGCCGGAGCTAATAATGGATCTGCAAAAGACTCTCTCCAGGGTATATCGCATATGGATCGGTCTATTATAGAGTCTAGTAAGGGGTCTTTTAAAGGGCCTTCGAACGGGTCGTTTAAAGCATCGTCGTCCGCAAACACTACAGCTGTGAACTCGAGAGCCCATTCACCCACGAGTCATGAGACGGCCACCGATGGTACATGTGTGTTGATATACATGTATGTTAGTGTCAATGTGTGGTATTGTATATGTATGGTACTGTGTATGTGTAGTGTATTACATGTGTGGTCGTGGCCATATGTGT